CTAAATCCTTCCTTATTTGCACATGGGTCTGAATCAGAGCCACTGCCATGGAAGCAAAATAACTTTTCACCTCTGATGCAGACAATCTCCCATGCTGACATGCCTCGATCACATCTTAGACAGAAGCTGCTCATATGAAGCCTCTAGGTCTCTAGCAGGAGAAGACAGCCAAACCACAGGTCCCTACCTGCTGGTTGTCAGGCACCTTTCGGACAAGCACCTCCGTTATCTTCCTTGGAACATCGCTGTCGTAATCAACCTCCCTCTCCCGCAGCACCGTAATGTCAGCCCCAACCCTGCCACAAAGACAAAAGGAAGGAGTGAGACACACTTGTACTTGGCAGCTCTTACACCTCTATGAAAACAGCTGACAGAGTGAATGGGGTGAAGGCTGTGGATAGCAGGGAAGGAGCCTCAAGCTTCCAGACAAAAGCCCTATAACTTTCCTCATGTTTCCAGAGCCTCAGGACTAATGGAATGTCAGTCATACAGGAGCTTTGTAGGATGCAGCTGCTCAGGAGACTCCAGGGAGAGAGCCTCTCTACCAGAGGCTGCTCATGCTCATGGGCCCTGCAGACAGAAGGGAGCACGTACTTCTCTGCCATCCGGCGCAGTGTCTTGAGTGAGGCTCGCATCTCCTCCTCCGAGAGGCCCACCAGCAGCCCATTGTCCTCCACGCCGATCTGATAGACAGCCTCACCTCGGCCCTCCTGTAGTCGCCACTTCATCTGTGTCACCAGGTGTTCAAAGCGATATTGCGAGGGGTTCACCAGCTTTAGCTGTTTAACAGAGGGGTAGTTCTAGTCACAGCCTGGAGGCAGAGGCAATCCCATGGCCCAATTCCATGAAGCAATGCTCCCAACTCTGACCCACTGCTAGAAAGCACAGTCTGTATTACTGTCTGAACAGAAGCCATGGGACAGGTGAGAAGGGGTTTCACAAAGGTACAAACATATGATAGAGGAACTTTCCCACCTCGTGACAAAGGGACCTGTACCCTGCCTGCTGCATGGTTAAAGACAGCACTCTGGGACCAATCTGTGATCCAGGAGCCAGTAAGTGCAAATGACAGAGCAGGCACAAGAAAGTGGTAAATCATTTTCAGGGATATCTGCATCTTTCTCTCAAGAAAAATACAGTAGGCATCATATACTAGAAGAGATTCCTAAAAATGACTACTGAGATCAAACTTTTCCAGCTAAACATACTGGGTAAAGCTTGGCACAGAGACGCAGAAGATGAATGGTAGTTCCTTAGTGCAGTGTCCACTTTTCTGTCTTTTCTTTGGCCATGTTACCCATACAGTCTTTGGTTAAGTTACTCACTGCAAAATAACCCTGTGGGAGGAAGACCAACTTCTGCAACCTCAGAAGACTCACCTTGTACTCGATGTTCCCATCTTCTGCCTGGTCAGAGAATGAAATAAGACAGAAGAGTTAGATGCTGTGCCCAAAGGGACTTCTACAGGCACCAGCTGCCCATATATTCTGAAGCTGGTGCTGAGGATTTCAAAGATAGGGAAAGTGGCAGAAAGTGAGTGTGTTAGGTCCCAGCCTTCTGCCATTCTTTCCTATACTCAACAGAACTTCCTTCTTTTATAGTTTGTTTGTGCTGTTGGCATCCCACATCATGAACACCAGAGGACAAAACTAGAGTGGGGCACAAGAGTTATACCGTCTGGGGGAGGGGGATTTTTTTCTGGACAGTAAAGAGTAGGGCCACCCTAACAGTCACACAGAGAGAGTTCCAGTTTCAAAAAGGCACAGGCCAGCATATGATTTAAAGCCTCCCCCCTCACCCATCCACGACCCACAAAATGCCACCCACAGCATCCCATTCCCACCCTATCCAGCAGCTTCCATCCATCCAATGTTCACAGAAACACAGGCTGGAGAACAAAAGCTTCTGCTTCCTCTACTGCTCATTGATACTCTCCCTTACTCAATTAGTTTTTCATTGACTCCCTTCGACATCTTTATGTATCTTCTCTCTACAAGGAATGACTACAGGCATAAAGAAGCAAGGTAATGACTCCTTTGCCAGCTAGTCACTGGCCAGAGAGTTCTGGAGAGCCAGACCCGATTGGGACTGTCTGTATGGAATATATGCTCAGAAGTACTTTCTCAGGAAAGGCAGAAGCCAGATGAGGCTGTAACAGAAAGGCCTGGGTACTCATCAAGCTCACTTCAACCAAAACAGGCTCCAGCTTTCCAAAGAGAATATTTTATTTTACAATTAGATATACAATATTTAAGTACTTTTTCCCATTGATTAAGTATAAGGACCACTAAGAAAGGGCTGGAGCCTGCAGGAAGCCACATACTCTGTCAGATTAAATGGGGCTGGCAACAGTAAGCACTTCCTTCTCCTCTGGATACCTATTTGCATGTCAGGAGAGGCAACAGCCCTCTCCTTGCCTTCCAGCACAGCTCCTAACCACAGCGGTGCTTACAGTGGCAAAAGGCCAACAGAAGTTCTCAATTGTCAGCTCAGTTCTCTGGCAGCAGAGCTATGCCGTGAGAAAAAGGTACTCGTAGCAGGTTTTCCTCTCTTGCCATCTACCAGCTTTCCAGTTCTAAGAAAAACCCATTCACCTACTGCACTGTAGTTTAAATAAGAGAGTGGGTCTTCTCCAAGGCACTTGAGACTATGAAAGCAACAAGCCTGGACTTGCAGGGGCACACACTGCACAGGGTAGCCAGAAACAGGAAGCTGTGCTGAAACCACAGGGGACTGTCCAGCCTCCAGCTGAGAGGAGCAAGAAGTAAACTACGGCTGCAGGGCACTGTCCTGCCCGTGGAGAAGATCTAACAGTAGCAAAGCGCTGTTTACCCATCTTCCCAAGAGTCCCTTGTGGAGGAATTGCTCCCTCCCAGCACAGGCTACTAGATATTTTACAGAAATCTCACTGACTGGGGCCAAGCCAACGTGATTCTGCCCACAGTGACAGTTCTATGAGAGCGATGACAACTGCCCCAGCTGAGCACACACCCACGTACTACCAATGCCACTTCTTCCTGCTGCAGGAGACAAGTGCCTCACCCTCTGTCCATACCATCTGCAGCCCCATGGAGGGAAACAGCTGTCAAATTAGCTGGGAAGGGAGTCACCAGATCCCGTTTGGCAGCTGGAAAGGGGCTCAGACCCACCAGATCGTCTCTCGGGCAGAGAGAGATGCAAACGGGATGTTTGGAATTACGAGGCGAGCAAAGCTTTATTTTCGAAGCTATTTCGAAGGCAGGCGGCAAAGTGCCCACAGACAGACGCCAGGCAGCGCGATGCTACTCACGGACAGGGGCCGGTGAACCCCGCAAGGAACTCGCTGGCACCAGGGGCGCGAGCACGGCCCGGAGGCGAGCCCGGGGCAGGCGGGCACACGGCTCCCGGGGCTCCTACGGCTGCTGTCCGCCC